TTTGCTCTTCAGTCGATCGGTGCTCGTGAGCCAAACGCTGTGGTAACGAGCGGGGTAGTGCGCACACCTCGGCAGCCGCGCTGGGCTGGTGCTGCTTGCTGATTTGTTTCGCTTCGGTCTAGCGTGAGAAATGGGGCTTTCCACAACTTACTAGTACTTTGATTTGATTAGGGTTGCTGCCTGCCTTCAAGGTATTTATTTCTGCTCTTTTTTTTTGCTCCTAGATATCTCCATATCCGAATCAGCCGTTAAGGAGGAAGTTTTTTAGTTTTCTTCTTTAATTTTTGGTTCCTGAGATAACAGTTTCATTGCAAAGTTGCAGGTCCGTGATTTAATGTCGTCTCCCCCCCACTCCCACCTTAATTTCACTGTGTTTTGGGTTCAGTTTGCTCCTCAGTATCTTGTTAAGTTCTGCAGGTGGCTTGTATGCTTGAGGGGACACTTTGGTCCCTTCTCCAACCATTTCCTTCGCATGCCCCTTCTGCTCAGCATAATAATTATCTGACCCCAATGTTTAATTTACTGGGCCTTCAGGTTGATTTACACTGTGACCTGCTTTTCCAGGAGATAATGCAGTATAGGTTTGATCTCATATCTTAAATGTCAGTCATGCCCGTATGCATTAATGCACCTGGCAGCTGGTTGCTAAATTGGAGCAGAACAAAAACATTTCTTAAGGTTCATTTTAGTACTTGGCTTTCTGTTTTGCTCTTACAGAGTAGATCAGAAGGCCTTTTACTGTCAGGTGTTTCCTGACATACATACTTGCGGGGTTGGTAGCCTAAATAATCTTCTTCTGTCAGTGATTTATAATGTCAGCTGTGCTTTTCTTAAATATTTTTTTTCTGATTTCCTCAAATTAAGTGAGATATAGCAACACAATTGTGTTTTGAGGGTATGTAGAGAGATTTTGCTTAATGCTTCATCTATTATAACCTTAATGTTTTACTGTATCAGCTGTTGTGTGTGTGTCTTACGTGAACCCCCTCTTAATGTTTTCTTGAGTGTATTAACTGGACTAGCCTCCCGTTGTCCTCAGCTTGAAGTAGCCTTTCTAATCCTCCTTGTATAATGTGTCTATTTCCCAGTTTACCTTTTTAATAACAGGGATGTGAGATGCAACAAGCTGGGGATAATTTTGTGTTAGTTCTGTAGTGCCTATAGCGAGAGCACTATTCGTCTTTGTGGTGTGGAGTAGTGTGATCTTTTCGCTGTTTGAAGGAATGAGAACATGCAGTGTTTTAACAGATTGTATTCCTAGACAAAAGAGTATATGCAGTTATTAAATATTGCTGGCATTATTTCTTTTCGTGGAAATTATTAATGCACATTATGCAGTTTTGTGGGAAGTAGTGCTTAAAAGAACAATTATGCCAAAAACAGTAGCCCTTCTGGCTAAGGGTGACCCAAAACTGAGTTTAGCTTCCTGTCTGTGTTCTTGCTCAGACACCCACATATGTCTTGTTCTTGTTTTGTAGTTGTCATTGTTACTCTTATTTTATTTGTCATTTCATTCTCAAAGGTGTTCATTCAGGATTTTTGAAAACTCACAGGGATTTTTTTTCCTGTAGATTTTATGTGCATGTTAATAATACATGTAGAACAGCAGCGTAAGACTAAAAAACTAATAGGAATGTATGTTGCTGTTTACATTTATGCATCTCTGTTTACTTATGCTAATGTTGTTAACTGATGGGATTACATTAAAAAGACTCCCTAGATGTGACTCGTGGTTTCATTAGAGCAGGAATCTTTAAAAGAATATGGCTACAAGGAAGATTCTGTTCAAATAAATTCTGTATATTATGAAATGCAGTTCCTTAAATTACAAGGCTTAAACGCTCTTCTGTGACTCTTTGGCGTTGAATTTTGTTATTTTTGTTCTGGGTTTTTTATTTCTATTTATTTATTTTTCTTCCGGCCTTTTTTTTTTAAAAAAAAAAAAAAAAACCTTCTACAGATCTGCTCAACCCTAGCAGGGTTTATTTTCAACTGAATTTTGTTTATTTAGGAAATCATTAGAAAAATGTTGCTTCCTTCTGTGTTTTGAATATTCGGGTTAATGCATGCTCTACAGCGAGCTTGTAAGTCTGTGCTTACTGTTGCTTTGGTTCATTTATTCAGGTGTGGAAGGAATTGAACATGGTCCTTTCTGCATTGACTGAACTGGCCTGGATTCAGCATCCCCAGAGGAACTCTGAGGGGTACACCTAATTTCTTACTGGAATAAGTCAAGGCAAGTGCAGTGGGGAAACAAAAATGATGTGTCCCCCTAGCCGAAGGGAAGTTGTTTAGATCTGAATGTTTGTGTGCTTTTTAAGGATATATTGCTTTATCAGTTTTTCCCAGTCAGGTTTTATATGGGTCTCAAGTAAAATCTGGCCTAATGTGATGGTTATATTTCAATAATACTTTTAAAGACTTAGCTGTTTGTTCCTTAAAATGAAATATATTCAAAAATATATTGTATTTTGTGAAGTTACTGTAATAAATTACATTTGTGGTGTTTCAGGAAAAGGTTTTTGTCTACATGATTATTCAGAAGAGACACAGTCATGGTTAACAGATTCTAAACTTGACCTGCTTTTTTTCATCCCTGTGCAAAGCTTTTGTATTATTGATGTTTTCTTCTCTTTGTTCTTAACATTTCCAAATAAGCGCTTCGTTGAGCTTTTTCTCTATGGTAATCAATAGCTGTAGTCATATTTGTGGATACTTCTACAATAAATGGGCACGTAGATAAAACAGAATAAGGATTTAGTGTATTGTGGGCTAATAGTTAATGATGTGTTCGCAGCCATAAAATACTTTGCGCCAGTGATGTTAGAAATATTTTTTAATTGAAAGATTAAAATTTATAAATGCATCTTTAGAATAAATTTCTGACCTGACAGAACTGTTTGAAGAAAGGACATTCTGCTTATCGACATTTATTGTACTGCACTAAGGAATCTCTTGGGAAGAATCCATTTTCAGAGCATCATTTCATCCTATACTCCATGACTTCCAAAAAGAGAGAAAAGCATAATAGTAATTATACTGTTATAATTGATATTGTGCTTCGAAGTCTGCTTTTTTAGTTCCCATTTAATGTAACAATTATGAGGGGTTTTATTTGGAAAACGTTTTTTATTTACGTTTTAAAATTATCACTGAAACGAGTGCTGTATCTTTATAATTGAGATATTCTGCAGTTTCTTGTTGTGTGAGTTTGATTTAATTTGGAATTTCTTTTGAGATGTTATTTATTTAAGTTATTCTCAAAAAGTCAGTTTATGCCAGAGGATTTTGTAACCATCACAGAATGGAAATAAATATTTAAAGACTTCTAAGTGATAGAAATCAATCATTAGTACTAATATCAATGCCTTTATTTTTTAAATCAATTCACAGGATTATTTCTTTCATCAATTTGCCTTTTCTGCAAGAGAAACTGTTTTTAAATTAAATGTGGCAAATGTTGGAAGAATCTTAGATGTTGCTGCTGAGCAAATCCTGAGGGAAAGCATGTGTAGCTTTGCTCTATAAGGAATTAATTTTTGTTACTTCTTGGTTGAAAGATGTCTTCAGATTTGTGCTGATCTTAAATACTGGAGATATTTTATTGGTCTTGGTTTTCATAGTACTTATTCTTCATACCATTCCACAGGATGAACTATGAGTTGCTCAGAGAGATGAACAGAGTAGAAATACATACATTTCTGAAGTATGTATTTCTTTAAGGCTTTTCCTTTTGTTCTTTCTGATGTTTTCGGAACAACTGAAGTTACAAAGGACAATGCTCAGTGAATATCCTGGTGACCCTTTGTGTGCAGCCACATGGTTTTTGCAATGGCATCCGAAACTGAAAAGGCCCACGCGCTTCTCCAGACTTTTAGCACAGCCTCAGTTATTTCTAGCCTGTGTTTGGGAATATTCTGCTTTGTAGTGGACAGACTCTTGCAGTTTTCCTTCATTCAGCAAAGTGACTGGCTCCGAGCCTTCGCTGACAACGCAGTGCATGGTGTGCTAGGGATGTGGTCCTGGGCAATAGTGATTGGACTCAGGAAGAAAAGCGACTTCACTGAGGTCACCCTGGCTGGCTTCCTCTCCTCTGTCATTGATGTGGATCACTTTGTTCTCGCTGGCTCCCTGTCATTAAAGGTAAGTTGATCAGTGATTGCCTATTTTCTTCTCTTTTGTCTCTTTCAATTTATCTTACTGAGAAATATCTAGCCCTATCCTTTCCACTCCATCCCACCCTGACTGAGCTTGCAGATTAAAGTTCCTTCAGTGTTAGGTATGTGTGTTAATAAATTGCAGAGCAGAAATAGCAAGCAATATATGACCTCTTCAGTCTTAAATTATTCTGAGTTTATCCTAAAATAAAGCTGCTTGTAGAAGGAACTCAAACAAATGTCGAACTCGTAAATAAAAGCAGTGGGTGAACTAGCTGCTCTTTAGGAATGTATGTGATAATCATCCTTTTGCAGAACTGCCCCTTAGGATGGAGTTCCTACTGGGGTAGGACTAATATGGCCAGGTTAAGGCATTTTCTGTTAATGATTTTCTTTCTTTTTAGTGCCTGTCTTATTCCCACTCCCCCACATATGTGTTCCTATCTATCCCTGTCTTTTTGCCAGCTTCAAACCTGTATACCTGGCTTTTGCCTGAGCACAAGCTCTCCAAAACACACGGACCTTCCCCAGGCAGCAGCAGTGCCAGCCCAGGCCAGCCCTGGGCTCCCAGACCCCTCCATCGGCTGGGGCAGGTGCTCCTTGCACCCAGCGGCTCCTCGGGCAGAGTCCTCGTGCTCTGCTTGTCATCCCGGGTAATTTTAATTAAATGGGAACTATGCAAAATTGGGTTTGTTTGTTTGTTTGTTTTTGATTTGGTAGGGATGATGAATACAGGGAGTCAAATTGCTTGTGATAGAAATCTAAAAGTCAGACTTGCAAGGGGAGAACATCTTTGTCTGTATATAGTATCTGCATTTGCTATAACTGAAAGCTGCTTAAATTTTGCTCATTTGGCAGAACTTTTGATCTGATCAGTTTTCCCTATATTCATCTTGGACAGAGAAAGCACTTCTTTTCTTTACTGTTCTTTTCTGCATTGTGAAATTTATAAAACTATAATCTCATGTATCATTTTAATATTGTATATAAGTTTTTCCTTTTAAAATCAGTGAACACACTGATGAATACATGGTGATTGAAACTATTAAAACTATTGTTTTTATTTATTGTATTTATTATTTTTATTTATTTATTGTATTTATTTATTGTACAGCATCCTTAATACTTTCTTGCAATTATTATCAAAACCTTGTTTTTCTCAGTCACCCCCGCTAGATGGCGTTCTGCACCAGTGTCAGTTTAGAAAGCTGAATATTTTATTTTATCATAGGATTGTAGGATTCTCTCAAGAACTGGGAGGTGTCCTTTCTTAAGTGAGGCAAGATCAAATATACCTACTTTCCATGAGGCAGAAGTAAATTTGCGATGTTATGAGTTAATTTGTTCCCACTTTTTTTTTTCCTTCTAAACTGCCTTTTTTTGGCAGTTTGGTCTTTTTTTTTATTGTATCTCCCAAAAAAGCTTTAGAGAATAGCTGACTGCTCTGATCTGTCAAACACACAAAATGTTCAGGCAGAGGGAAAGCCCTTTAAAGGCCCAACTTTCACAACAGAAAGGAGCAGGGAAGTTACCCAAAGAGCCTGAGGACCTTTTCATAGTTACTTGCCCGGTTAATTCCTCCCACCTCAAATATGTTAACTGGGGTTGATAACAGTAAAGGCTGTTTATTCTACATACAAGTGCTATCTTCTGTGCATCTCTAGATGGCTGTAACCATGTTGCTCTTACAACACTCTGCCTTCCAGAAAGTCTCCTCTTAACTAAATAACTCTCCCAAGAAGTCAAGAGGGTCTGGATTTCTAGAATTCTTACTGTTTCTCTTGTTTCTTTTGTATTGATTCTGCCTAAAATACCATAAAGAGTTCTCTCTCAAACTGCAGGGAGTATTTTGGTTGTGGCCTTGTGTGGGGCAAGTAGCATAGGTTAATGTTTCTCATGCTGTGTTCATCCTACATTTCTGTGGGGCTTTTGTTTATTTGTTTTTAGGGGGGAAAAAATCTCCTACAGGTTTTATGTGTCCTCGCAAACCTGTCACAGTATTTAGTTTGAGACCTAATGTAATCCCCATAGAGTTTTTGCTGTGTTGTTGCCTGGCTAGTTAGACCTGATTTTTATATTTGTTTTTTTTTTTCTTCAGCTTAGTATGATGTGCCTCTCAGTTTTGTTTTGTGGTTCCAGATTCTTCCAGCTAGCAAGATGTTTTTGAATTCTGATCTGGTCCTCCTCTTGCAATTCCTGTTGCAGCCAAACTACTCTCCTACAAGTTATTATTTTAAGTTACTTTTTATTAATTGTTTGTTACTTTACCAATGCCATTCTCCCCTTTCAGACAGCTGACTTGGGAGTTAGTGATTTAAGATTACAATGTTTGTTGAAGCAATATGTTACTAACGAATTAATCTAATTAAGTACAGCACTATTACTAATTTATAATTATAGTGGTTTTCATAAGACTATACACAATTACAAAGCTATTAGTTATCACTCTAAAATCTGTTGACAGGTTCCTTTTTTGAGTAACCCATCCTTTCACCATAAGGCAGTATCATCATCTATCTGCACTTACTCCCTCCAGATTTGTCCAGTAGTTCTGTTGCTGCCATCTCAGCATGCTGCTCAGACAGCCTGGCTCCTGTGCTCTTCTTTGTGGTTTCATTATCGTTACTGGTGTTGTTGTTATGGAGCTTTCAGGGCAGGTAGTCTAGAATTAGTGCAAAATTTGCAGCTTCCCACTTGCGAGGGAGCTCACACTGCTGTGCCTGTCTCCAGCATCTCATCTTGGTGTAGGAGAGGTGCTGGGATGTGCCCCTGACGGAACTTCTAGGCGTATGGGAAGGGTTATTTGAGTCATAAGCAAATATAGGTAGTGACTGCAGCCTGGCGCCTCATGGTAAACCTCCCCAAATCTGCCTGCCTCGTGCCACTTCATGTTTCCAGGTTGAGGTAGACAAGGCTTGTACTCATTTGTTAAGAGTTGATGACTTCTAAACAGATTTGCCTGTGAGGTGTTAGAGAAAGCTTAAAAGTTTGTGTTTCTAAACAGAAATACGTGGGCTTGGCATCCTCACTTAAGGAATTGTTTTTCTAGTTACTGAGTGTAAAAGAGAAAGAAGCCTAATGATCATACTGCAATTATAAAATTGCCCTCCTTCCCCCTGCAAATGTGCAGAGGCTGTGACCACTGAATAGGATCTGCCAAAATGTGTTCCTGTGAAGGGCAGTTCATACAAATCCATTTTTGCAGGACGTTTTAGTCCATATGGACTCTCTTGCTGAGAAGTCTTATTTATACCCTCTTGCTGACAGTAATGAAATCCAACTACCTTGCAGGCTACATGAAAAACAATTTCACTATCACAAGATTTTTCTACTTTAATCTTTGAACAAGCTGTTTATATGAAAAATGCACGAAAGCTATTATATTTGCACCAAGTCAAAGGAGTGGGCTTTATAATGTGACAGTTAAAACTGGTTGAGAAAGTGTTACGAGACTTCTGCGTGACTGTTTTTGTACTTGTGAGTGTTTTCCCAATTGCTTGCCTGAGAGTCCTAGGCCAACATGGAGGAAGCTAATGGAGCAAAGCTTTCTGCAAGACTTTTAACATGGCCTGTACCCTTATTCAAAGCCAATTATGTCCCAAGGAAATCCATAACTTCCCGTCTCCTATTTTCTTGGCTTGAATTCAGACATCTCTCTTTACATGAGTGTCCTTGCAGAGAAAGCAGTGCCCAAACGTTTGTCTGAAACACCCACAGGAGCTCAAGAACTTGAAGCTATTCCTGATTTTTGCAATTGAGATTCAATAGTAGCCGAATCCTGGGGCGGTTAACACTGGTTAACACTGGTGTGAGTTGTCAGGTTGTTAGTTGTGTCCTGCTGCTCTGCTTCTAGCAGTAGATGCAGCAATGTGTGCCCACCATAACCTGATGCACCTGATGTTGTTAGGTCAGTGCCTGTTACTGTCTTTCCAAACATTCACCAACATTTAAGTTGAGACAATATTGCGTCTGCAAACCATGATTATGTTAATGGGACAGAAATTCCTGTGAATTAGTCCGGTGAATCTCCAGGAGGTCACAAAGCAAAATGAATGAGCAAAAATTTATATTTCAAATTGTAGACCTCAGGAGAGCCAGAAGGTAGGAAGCAGTTATTGAAGAGTGACCATCGAAGCATCTTTGCTGCTGAATTATAAAGTCATGCTGCTGCTCTGGTAAATGTTAGTTCCTAGGCATTTGGTAACCAGAGTTTGCTGAGGGGCTTACCCTGCTTTCTGTCAAAATGCTTGACATTATGCTTATGCTTTGTTCTTGTGCATTTATGCTTTATGTGCTATGCTTGTCATTTCTTACCGGTTTAGATCTTCTAGAAATGTGCCTTTATTGCCTTTTTTTCAGTTTATGGAGATAGTTCCAGCTGTTGCTAATAAGTATATCCAGAATATTTTCTCAAGTATGTGTGTTATCACTTCTTCAAAAGGCTGAATTCAGTCTGTTTGTAATGAAGACTTACTAGCTAGACATTCACCTTCATTAAAATCAAATATCAGACTTTAATTGAAGGAATATAAAGCAAGTTGCTAATATCAGAACCCCCGATCACAACTTACTCGAACGTTATCTCTTCCATGTCAATAAAGAATACTTTGCCAAGGCAATCAACATTTATGTAAATTTAGTCATGTTCTTGGTGTGGTATTAGACACTACTGCTTCATATTAGATGTTGGCAAGCTAGTATATCACAGAGGGTAAGTAATATAATTCACAATGTCTCTCTGAGTATGAATAAAGCATATAAGATATTTCAAATGTATGCTTTTCTCTTAAGTTGTCTTGAAATGGTACATAATATCATTGTATACTGTACAAGTTAATGTATGCTGCATGACTAAATAGCAAATCTGGTGCTTCATCCCTCTGTTCCCTGTTTTACTATTGTTGCTGCTTATTTCACCAATTAAAGTGGAAAGAAAAAATACCACCTTCTACCATGCAGCCACTTGATAATAGACCTCTAAACGTCCATGAAGTATTTTTTCATGTCTCGCCTGTAGCCATTGCCAATTATATTTTTATTTTCTGCAGGCTGCCCTGACGCTTCCACAGAGACCCTTTCTTCATTGTTCCACTGTGATTCCTGTTGTGGCTCTGACCTTAAAGTTTATTATGTACCTTCTGAGGCTAAAGGACTCATGGTGCTTTCTTCCCTGGATGTTGTTCATGTCTTGGACTTCCCATCATGTCCGTGATGGGATTCGTCATGGCCTCTGGCTCTGTCCACTTGGAAAAACTCCGCCTTTGCCATACTGGCTGTATGTGGCAATTACAGCATCTTTACCTCATCTATGTTCCTTTATTATGTACTTAACAGGCACTAGAGAATTAATGTCTATAAAACACGGAATCCACATTGATGTATAAGGATGATGGATCTTGGAAATTGTTTGCATTCAAACATAAGCTATTGCTTTATCACTGGGAAAAGTTTCCTTATGCCTAGCTTCTAAGCTGGGATCCTAAGGTTATGGAGTTAAAGCTCCAGTGTCAATTCCTTGTGGTCTGGAAACACGTTTCATGGATGGTAATGATGTCTGTCTGCACTTTCCCCTTTTAAAACGTGTGGTCTTCCATTACAATTCCCGTGTAGACAACCTGTTTATAAAGTACTCAGTCTCTCTGTAGTACTGAAAATTCTTAAATTCTGTTTCTGCTGCCATGGTGCTGTTCATCTGATCACCACTCACGCTGGACTTGTGCTCTGCCTTTGAAAAACACAGTTCATCCTTCTAACTGGATAGCATTTGTGTAGCACTTGTAAAAGGTGAAGTACTGCGTAAATGCTAAGGATTCATCAGAATTTGTTAGAGTATTTCCCTTCTGAGAATCATCAGTTAGACTTAGTAACTTGTTTTTGTGCTGGATTCCTGTATTGAACTATTTTTAAAAATGCTGTTTGTATTTCACAATGTACAACTACATATTTGCACCTGTTTGAGCACTGCTGTAATACAATGTTTATATTGAATTTGGTTCCTCCATAAGTGCTTGATACTCACTTTGCAGAGTGTTACTTGCTATTATTTATGGTGAGAAAGAAAAAAAGTTTGATTACAGCACTATGGGGGTTGACCAATGTGTTTAAAAATCTACTGATTGTGAATATTTAATTTGTAATGTAAGGATTTTTAGTTTAAATATTTAAGGATAATGTGTAAAGGCAAACCTGTACCACAGTAAAATTCAAGCTTTGGGGAAGATTCAAGTAAGATGCAAGAAAATTAAAATTCTCAAAATATGAGATTGCTTTAGGACTTTCCTACTGTATTCATCTTATATGCAGCATTTTCCATTAAGTGCCATATTGTCTTTATTACCACAAAATAAAATACATTTTTATTTTAGTGAGATAGGAATTTCCTTTTAAATTAAGCTCCTTAAAAATATGATCATGTTGCAGCTTCATAAAACAGCGGCAATTTGCACTGTGGGCTATTCAGAATAACAGTCGTATGGAAGTTCTCAGAAAAAGTTCTCAAGTAAACTGTGAACTCTTCTTTAGCTGGCCATGTGTGAGCTGGGAAGTGTCCAGTAGCTGCTTTATTGATCTTTTATTAATTGAACTTCACTGCACCATTAAGGTTATGGGACCTAGATAATTCCTGAGTATGGGATGAGGAGCTGACAGAAATTGAGTGTTTTTGAAAAGGACCACATATAGTCTTTAAGTGTAGAAATTAGGTGTCACTTTTGCATTAGGATTATTTAAGTTATGCTATATTTATATTAGTAAATATATATTAGTCCGAAGTACAAAAAGGTTACAGAAAAGGCTGGCTGTGTGGTGGCTGGTTTAATAGGCACCACAGACCTTCATCTACAGTTGCAAAGTACTGAAGGCCTCCAGAGCCCACTTGGGTGTTTATAGAAATGTTGGCACCACTTAAAAATGTGCCTTCCCTCAAAAAAAATCCTCTCTGCCCTTCTTGTTTTTCATATATAACTCTTGGCTTACAGAAACTCTTCTGAGAGTACAATAGACCATTTATTCTAAAATGAATGAGTGGTTGATTTTTCCTTGAAAACTGGGGAAGCAGAACATTCCTTAAAGAATTATTCTTAAACACTGGTTCTCTTTTTTACAACACGGAAAAGTTTCCATAAACAGCATCACAAATGCCTTGCTGCTCGGAGCAGGAACTGGATATCTACGTTTTGTCCAAAAGCCTGATGGATTAATAGAGGAGCAGTGCTGCTTGCTCATTTATTTTTAATGTTATTTTAAAGTATAGACTGCCAAATGCCGGTAAGGAATATCTCTGGGGGAAAAGTGAGTCCATGCAGAAGATTTTCTGTATTCTTGCTTTGTGGTAATTTTGTGTTCTGTGGAGATTTGCAGCAGAGTGAAACATATAGGAGCAGAGTGGGGGAGCTGCATTTTGTATTTTTTTGTTTGGAGCTGTAGCCTTTCTATGGTAGCTGCATTACTAATGGTACTTAAAAAAATCACATGGTACTGTAAGATGCTTGATTCTCTGCTGAAATGATTTATTGTTCTAGCTACGCCTAAAGATTGGTAGAAGGACATCTTCAGTAATTTAAAAATATGTATTTTCAATTTCTGTTTTTCTATATTTTTTTCTGCAAAAATTTCCATCTGTATTTCAAAATACTGTTTTTTTGGTTAGATTTTTCTTCCGCTTCCACCACGGCAGTGGGCAATGGAAATGGAAAGCAGCAAACGTGGCTTGTTTGCATCCCCCTCCAACACCCACTTCTTCACCAAAGTCTGCGCGTTTTTAGATGCAGGCTGCTGTCTGTCCTATTACCCAAGCAGGTCAAGGAAGTGTCCTTAGACTTAGCAAATAGCAACGCTTGGAACAGATCCTCAATTTTGTAGGAATTCAGCATCTTCAGTGCGCTTCTAAGGAAGCTGCATGAGAATAACAGCAAGTCCGAGATGGGCAGTTTTGCACAGGGGGCCAGACATATCCATCTCGCTCCTCGTGCGGATGTTTTGGTGACTTTATTTCTTTATTGACAGTGTTTTAAGCTGTTCTGAGAGATTGCTATTTTCATTTCCCCCACGCCTTGTTGCTTATCGTGCCATAGTTTGTAGGTACCCAAATTAGAGAGCATAGGGGAAGCTGAGTGTTTGCTTCAGCCTACGTCACTCAGGAGATATAATTCCATATTACAAATGAATTTTCTAAAAATTACATATCACCATTTCATGTACATGCAACTACATTTATTAATCCAATTGTGTTGATACTTCTTCATGGAATTTTTGTCACATTTTCACTAAAAAAGTAGCAGGTATCTGAAGCAGTTTGTGCTTTATTGCATGTGTTACAGTAATGAATAAATGTCAATACAAAAAGCATGTAAATTACACAAAAAAACCCTCAAGCTAATAACTTCATGTATAATAAGAAATATTTATTGCTAAAATATTACTGTTATTTATTTAATTTGCTAGTCTCAGCTACTTCCTTTTTTTCAAGATGTACTTTTAGAGTTGAACAAGGTGTGAGATTTTGGGAATTGTTATTGTTGAACTGTACTGCTTTTTTTTTTTCCTATCTTAATGAATTGCCACCATTAAAAAAATAGATGTTAATAATTGCCAAATCAAAAGAAAAAAAAGGTGGAATGTTTCTTCTTCTCAGTTCCCCAGAAACAAGATAAAATTTCTTCCAGGTCCTGGAGGCCTTAATAGAAAAAGTGAACACATTTCCTGCCAGCTGATAACTGATTTTAAAAAGTAATTATGTTTCATATGAGTACTGGTACCATTTTTTATTGCTACAGTGAAGTATATAGTATTAATGATCATGTACATTTAATTGCTGATTGATAAGTGAATTATCCATAGCCAATGTCATGCTCCAAAGAAAATGTAGGTGAGTTTGAATTAAGTAGAAACAATTAAACTTTCAGCTATTAGGCCACTGGTATTGGCTTATTATTGGAAGGAAGTTAATAATTTTGAATGACTATGGTTTTACTCCACTAGCTGATGTCAGAATGAAACTAAACGATAAAAAGCATCCGAAGAGGACAGTTATTTAAGGGATGGAGCTGACCTGAATTCTGTCAGCTGTGCAAATGCACCCGTGGCAGGTTCCTGAGTGTGGTATTGCAGGGAGCTTGGCTGAACGGTCATTCGGTTCCATCAAATGGAGTTACATTTTGTTTCGGGAAGTGCTGTCAGCTTTAAAGTACCCTTTGCATTCCTTACCAGAAAAAAAAAAAAAGTAATAAGGCTTTTCTTTATACAAAATTGTACCTGTCACTCTTTGTTAAAAGTCCCCAAATTCTACTTTGTTTACATTGAATTATAAATTTGAATGTTATATTGTAAAGCTGTTTTATATTATATATAACATGCCTACCATTAAAGATGAGAAGCACTTGGATTTATATATATGGCTTTTTTAATGCTTATATAATAGCTTTCTATTTGCTATATTTTTTTTTCATATAATTTAGTATTGACTTCTCATGGGGGAAAGAGGAGTGTTTGTCTAACTGAATAGGAAACCGGGAATTTGTTTAACCAAACAGGTTTATGTGTGGAAAATGGGCAAGGGTTTGTATACAGCAGCTATACACCATGTTGCCATATCTACCACAGAAACAATTTTTGTGTCCAGGGAACGCTGTTCATGTCCCCTGAGACTTCTTCAGCTTCTTAAGTAAATCACTACATCAGTTTTACTGGAAGGGTTTGATCTTGGTAATTTTGGTTCTTTAAAATTGCTTGATATTCAGTAAGGGTTGCTGCACCAGTGCATGGTCTGCAGCTTTCCGTGCTGTCCGCCCCTTTGCAGCAGCTTCTGCAGAGAAACCAACCACGGGAGCTGTGAGTTTGGGCACAAAATCTGTGATGGAGGCAGCGGACATAGCAACGGCATGAGGAATTCACAGCTCTCACCACATTGAGGCCTACTCCTCCACACCCAGCAACAGGGCATCCCTGTGTGTAAGAAGTCAGGCAGAGGGGGCAGGAGACCTGCGAGGGTGAGCAGGGAGCTTGTGGCAATGCTCAAGCAGAAGAAGGCAGTATACAGAATGTGGAAAAAAAGGACAGGCCCTCTGGGAGAAATACAGGAACGTAGTCAGGGAGTGCAGAGATGCGACAAGGAAAGCTAAGGCGTGGTTGGAACGCAATCTGGAAAGAGACGTTAAGAATAACAAGAAAAACTTCAAATATATTAACAGCAGAAGGAAGATCAGGGAAAACGTGGGTCTGCTGGAAGACGGGATGGGCACCCTGGTTACAAATAACACAGAAAAAGCAGAGTTGCTCAATGCCTTCTTTGCTTCGGTGTTTACCAAGGGCAGCCCTTTAGAGCCCCAGGCCCTAGGGACAAGAGAAGAAGCTGGTGGAGAGGAAGACTTGCCCTGGGTAGAGGAAGATTGGGTCAGAGAGCA